GCAGAATGCATGCAAAACTGTAATATTATCGGAATCTGTATAGCTATTGTAATGAGCGCATCACAGCGTGATGCATTAATAATTGTTTCATGTATTATTTTAATCGCTAATGGCAGCATGCATTGGTCATTGGCTTTGAACAGAAATGCATTGGGTGTTGAATGGCAAAAGCCTGAAGCAGAAGCTATGGTTACCACTCCCTCCTTTAGCGTGCACGAGAAGTGTGTGGAGCGCGTGCATGTGAGCTGAGTCCGAGTCATTCCGCGAGTCGGTTCTTTTGAAGAACCGATTCAGAAACATGATTCGCCATTATTTGACGCCATGGCGTAATTGCGTGCAATTAAAGGCAGGTGTAAATTCAATGCTCACTCGAATTGTAATTTCTGTCATCTCAGTGCTGAGTCAACTGATCATCTTTTTTTCAAATGCCCCCTTGTTAAAGAATTTTGGTCTGCTAGACACTGATTTCAGTATGTGTGATATATTCTGTTATTTTTCTCATTGTAAACATAACATAGAATGTATAGGGGATGCATTTATGTTATCGGCAAAATATTATATTCATAAATGTAAATTTTCTTCAACATTACCCAAATTACATAATTTTCTTTCTGACTTTAACTACCTAGTTATGACACTTAAAAACTATAGCAACAAAAAAAGTGTCAAATTTGGTGTAAGTTATGTCAAATCAAATTCTAATACAAAAGAAAAGAGAAAAATGTGTATATTGGCACCTTGATAAATAACACATTTTGTGTATTATAAATCATGTTAAATATTTAATATTTTTACAGCAATTTGCAGTCGTGTGACTATCGTGTGAACAGAGCTGGGCAGATTACATACAGACTGTAATCCGTTACCGATTCCAGATTACATGACAAGAATTGTAGTTAGTAACGTAATCCATTACATTACACATTTTGGGTAATATAATCAGACTACTTTTAGATTACTTTTGACCTCTCGTTTTTCACATTGATTTAATTATGTCAAATCAAATTCTAATACAAAAGAAAAGAGAAAAATGTGTATATTGGCACCTTGATAAATAACACATTTTGTGCATTATAAATCATGTTAAATATTTAATATTTTTACAGCAATTTGCAGTCGTGTGACTATCGTGTGAACAGAGCTGGGCAGATTACATACAGACTGTAATCCGTTACCGATTCCAGATTACATGACAAGAATTGTAGTTAGTAACGTAATCCATTACATTACACATTTTGGGTAATATAATCAGACTACTTTTAGATTACTTTTGACCCAATTCACTTATCAAATTGATTTAAATAGGATAATATTGTACAATATTAATATAAAAATACAAAGAGAAAGAAAATATATTCCATTCATTGTTAAAACTAATAATTAGTAACATAATCCATTACATTACACATTTTGGGTAATATAATCAGACTACTTTTAGATTACTTTTGACCTCTCGTTTTTCACATTGATTTAAATAGGATAATCTCTACTGTATTATATTGCATCAAGATGTCCCAAACTGTTCAACGAATCAGTCAGGTGGTGATTCGAGAACCGCTCGTGTGTGAGTCATTCATTCGACTCAAACGAACGAATCTTCTTTCAGTGCACATTTCATTGGTGATGGTGTGTGTGTGATTGTGTGTGTGTGTGTGTGTGTGTGTGTGCGT